TGTTTACCAGATGATGACATCAGTGTTCACTAGATGACAATATTAATGTTTACCAGATTGTAGTGTTCCTTTGCTAGATCACAATATTAATGTATACCCATGTAGTGTGCATTTCACAAATAATGGCAAATCCAAAGCTTATCTGCTCTTTAAAGTTTGCTTATATTTCTGTTTAAATAGTGTTAAAAACCAGTTGAAGATAAAGGAGTGATCAACCATAGCAATTTCTGGTCTGTATGTGTTTCATTAGTGGGAATGAGATACAACAGTGTCTTACACAAGAATGAGACAGAGAAAATAATCTCTATCAGAAACTTCTAGCATCTTCCAAGCTGGGGACTGTAAATCTTAAATGAAAGATAATTTCAGATGACTGTGTTTACCCATGTATCATGTGCTTCACACATAATTTCACATGTTCATGTGATGCATGTTTCTAGTATTGTACATGCTTCTGTTATGGTGTTTTCTTGTTCATATTTATTTGCCTTTGTGCTGGTATCATGCATGTATTGTAGGTACCTAAGTCTCTGAGTATGCATAGTTTCATTACTTCCTTGTTTGTGCATTCCATGCTATTTTGCACACTTTGTTATCTTGTAGGCTATTTGAATGCTTTGTTTGATTGCTATTATGCTATATTTGCTTATGTTCTTCAGATATGTGTGTACTCCTGTGACATGTATAAGCAATATGTCCTGCATACAATTTAGACTTTTGATCACTTAAATAACCTGTCATGTGATCTTTCCTCTGTGGTATGTCTATGGCATGTATAGTTGATATATATTTACTGTGGGTAGCACCCTAATGTGCTGGGACTCTGGATTAATCATTTATCTTCTGGAAAGTGCTGAGAGTGTAATTTCAGATGTCAGTAATGCCGTAACAGATGTTATAAGGGACTGAAAAATTTCCAACCTTGGGAAGGAATGTAGAATTTCTTCTACTGAAGGATTTAAAGCAGATAAGATGAAACCTGATGGTTAGGTTGGAAATCTTCAGTTTCGTTTTTTCTTTTTTTGGATTCCCCTGTCTAAAGAGAGATTATGCCTTAAAGAGACAGTACTACTTTCTCCTTTCCTTGGAGTAGTTTTTTTTTTTTTTTAAGGCAACTGGGGTTAAGTGACTTGCCCAGGGTCACACAGCTAGTAAGTATCAAGTGTTTGGTCTGAGGCTGGATTTGAACTCAGGTCCTCCTGACTTCAGGGCCGGTGCTCTATCCACTGTGCCACCTTGCTGCCCCTGGAGTAGTCTTATAAGAGAACAAGTGATCATGGGTTCAGAAATGAGCTTGGACACCCTATATTTGAGTTTTGAGAAAGAAATGAAGATAGGCAGGGCTGTTGGAGTCTGAGCAGCTCCTGAAGCTCAGATGCTCCAACTGCCACCTCCACCTACCACAGCCAGGAGGGCTGCCTGAGAATTTGTATTTGTAAGGCAGTATTTGTAGGCAGACTGGTTATTACTGAATTGTCCATTCTGGAAGACTGACACCAGACAGTGATTTTGCCTGTTCCTCTCTTTTTCCTTCCTGCCTACTCAGGAGAACACATATTAAATCCAAACCTCACCTGCTCTTTAAAATTTGCTTATATTTCTTTTCAATTAGTATTAAAAATGGCAGAAGATAAAAGTATTGTTGACCATACTAATTTCTTTCTTTTTTTTTTTTTTTGGCTTTTTTTGTTGAGGCAATTGGGGTTAAGTGACTTGCCCAGGGTCACACAGCTAGTAAGACCATAGTAATTTCTAAAAAGACCAGCCATGCCTACATTCCCAGATGGAGACTAGAGAGAGAGATGGAGTAGAGAATCCTAAACTTTCCTCTCCCAGAGCATCCAGGCAGAATCTTTTCACTTTGTACAAATAATCCCTCACAGAGATTAATCTCTTCCTAGAGGAAACAACCCCTTACCTTTTGCCTAGGAGAAAAACTGGATTCATGCTGATTGGGGAAGTTATTAAGCATAAATCACTAAGATTCTTTCATTTAGCTCCAGAGTCTCCAGCCGAATATCAGGGCAATTTCTGACCAAATTGATGCTCTCTTTTTGATTCTTTTTCTCTTTGTGTGTAGCATGCTGATCACGACTCCACACTTCCATCCCCTTGCCACTAATGAAACACATGCGTATTAGAAATTGCTAAGGTTGATCACACTTTTATCTTATACTGGCTTTTAATATTAACATAATGGAATGTGAACAAACTTTAAAGAATAAGTCAACTTTGGATTTAATATATGTTGTCCTGGGAAGGCAAAATTAGTCTGGTATCGGTTTTTCTGAACAGAAAGTTGAACAAATTGTCACAGATACACCTCTTGTCTCAGTCTCAGGCTGCTCTCCTGAACTTGGTATGTGGAGCTGGTGGAAACATCCAGGCTCTGGGGGCAGGGCTGGGGGGTGGGGGTGGAGTAGCTCAAGCCTCACCATCCTTATTACGTCCATGCCCATGCCAGGATCTCTGGAAACTTGTGCTTCCACTTTCTAATCTCTACCCACTCTCACCAGATGTTTTGGTCTCCTACTTTACTGAGAAAGTAGAAACTATCTGTCACAAACCCCCTCATCTCACCTAGTCTACGTATCAAAACTCCATCACATTTTCACTCGTTTTCTCCTTCTTTACCCCAATCTGTAAAGAACAGGTAACCCTTCTTTTTTTTGGTCAGCCCCTCTTAACACACTCCCATCTCTCTGTCATCCATCATTCTTTCTTTGGTTTTCTCTCTGTCTCTGTATCAGCCAATAAGCATTTATTAAGCATGTACTGTGTGCCGGGTACTGTGCTAAGCTCTAAGGATGTAAAAAAAAAAAAAAAGAAAAAAAGAAAAAAAAAGCCAAAACACTGTCCCTGCTCTTAAAAAGCTCACTTTCTTAATGGGATTGACAACATGTATGTAAATAACTGTGTCCAAAGAGGAAATGGAAGGTAATTTCTGAAGAAAGGCATCAATAGTGGGGAGGTTTTGTGTGTGTGTATGTAACAGAGTGAGAGAGAGAGAGAGAGAGAGATGGAGAATAGGAAATGGCCTTCAGAAGGTGATATTAGAGCTGATCCTTAAAGGACACTAGGGAAAACCAAGTTAAGAGGCAAAGGTAACAGAGCAGAGCATTCCAGGCATGGGAGATAGACACTGCAAAGACACAGATCAGGAAATGGAATGTCATGTGTGAAGAATAGAAAGCAGACGTAGAGCACATATAGGTAAGTAAAATGTAAGAAGGCTTGAAAATCAGGAAGGAGCCAGATATGAAGGGCAAACAAGAATTTGATATTTAATCCTAGAGATGATAAAGAACCAGGAAAATTACTTTGGCCCCTGAATAGAGAATGGATTGGAGTAGGGGGAGAGATTGGAGTCAAGGAGACAGTTAGAAACCTGTTGCAGTAGTCCAGGCGAGAAATGGTAGGGTTGAACTCAGGTGATGACTGTGTAACTGGAGAGAAGGAGACATATATTGATATGCCCATATCCATATAGATATATTTATCCACATATATATCCATTTAAACTTTAATGGCTTAAAAATGACTTTTAAAACATTCTCTGCATGTACTTGTATATATATTGACATATATATGGTATTGTGAAGATAGAATGATTTTTATGAAAATGATTCACAAATCTATATATTCGCCTATACTATTTCAAGTGAATTTCAGCCTGTGTTGTCAATTGCCAGTTAAATATCTCCTGGATGCCTCATTGGCACCTTAAATTCATTATATCCAAAAGAGAATTGATTATTGCTCCCTAAACCCACTTCTCTTCTGAATTCTCTTAATTCTACTTAGGGCATCATTGTTTTCTCAGTAATTCATATTTATAAGTTTGAATGCGTTCTTGATTTTCCCCTTTTTTTCAGTCCCAATATCTAATCAGTTGCCAAGTTTTGTTAATTCTATTTCCATAACTTTTCTTATATCCATTCTCTTCTTTCCATGTCTCTAGTTCAGGCATCTCATCACCTCTGGCCCAGACCATTATAATGGCCTCCAAATTTATCTCCCTGGCCTCTGGCACTCCCCTTTCCATCCTTCCCACAGCTGCCAAAATAATCTTCTGAAGACACAGGACTAACCATATTACCCCTCACCCAAAAACCTTCAGTGCTTCTAGGATAAAATATAAAGTCCTCAGCTTGGTGTGGAAGGTTCTTTGCAATTTGACTTTTATCTTCCTTTCCAGCCTCAATCTTCTTCAACAGCTCTATGAATCATCCATATTAGACTATACTATCTATTTCATGAGCTCAAAACTCTTATTTCCCACCACCATGCATTTACAGTCTATCTCCTCGCTCCGAAGGCATTTCCTCTTCATCTCCAGTTCTCAGAATCCCTGTCTTCCTTCAAAATACAGTTCAGGTGCAACCTGCTTTGTGATGCTTTTCCTTACACCCTTCCCATTTCTTAGTGCTTTCTCTCTCTCAAATCACCTTACATTATTCTTATTTTTAAACATGTCATATCCTCCTTGCAGGCTCACAAACAGAATTTAAACGCCACCAGGGAGCTGTTTAATTTTATTCCTTTGTGTTCCTAGAAAAAACAAAGTTGTTGGGTTTTTTTTTAAATCCCAGTCTGGACCAGATTTCATCAGTGTAGGGAACTTCTAATCTGTAGACTCCCTTCCATAATACAGCTCAGCCCCTTTTCTATATTTTATAGTCCTAGAAAGTTACCTGGGGAGCTACAAGATTAAGTAATTTACTGACAGTCACACCCAGCCAGTATGTCCAGAGGCAGGACTAGAATCCAGGTTTTCCTGACTCTAAGGCTCTCCATCCCTCCATCTGTTATGCTACATTGACTCAAATACGGTAGGGACATCATAAACCTTTCTTGAATTGACCAACTTGAATAGAATAGGCAGAGAGAGCATAGGAAGAAGCTGAAAGCTACTATGATGCTCTATCCATAGCCTGCTTTTGGTTCCTTTATCAATCAGGAACCCAAAGATGCCCATGGTATTTGGGAAACACACATACCTTCTGCTGGAGCCCTGGAGAGAAACAAGAAGAGCACTGGGAGTATCAGCAGCTGAAACATCTTTACCCAAGTGTTTGCCTTACAGTTCTGGCAGCCTGATCTCCAGCAAAAAGAAAAAAAAATGCAAACCACACATGGTTCCTGATTCTAACCACACTTAAAAAAACTCTCATTCAAAACAAGTTAATGTAAACTTTTAACTTCCTGACTTGTGACTTCATGGTAACATTTCTATTTTATTTTATGGAAAGCATTGTGGTGATTTCCCATAATGATCTAACCCAATCCAGTCCAGCCACGCCAGTATATAATAGGGGCTTAATAAACGTTGGTTGATTCATTTATTAAACATTTATTATGTGCAAGGCGCTGCTCTAACTTGCTGGAGAGACAAAGAGAAAACAACATCGAAATCTCTCCATTAAAGAAGCTTAAATTCTACTGGGGAGATAAAACATGTAAATGGATAAGTATATTAGTAATAATTTGGACATCGTGTTAATAACTAGAGGATCATAGAAGGATTCTCATAGGAGATGGATTGTGAACTGAGCCTTGAAGGAGGAAGGAAAGAGATTCTAAGACATGGAGGTGAAAGGAGAGAATCTATCAGGCTTAGGGAACAGCTTATTCAAAGTTCCACTATTGATTCATTCAGGGGTGGGGTTGACCCTGGAATCTCAAAGCCATCAGAGCACAAACTTTTAGTATGTTTGGGAAACTAGGCCTGTTGTCCAAGGACTAGCCTAGCTATAGAGAGAGAATCTAATCATGGCTAGGCTGACCACTAAATGATTAGTTCTTTGACTCTGCAACTCTTGAAACAATAGTATTAGTAGCAGCTAACATTTATATGGTGCTTACACTATGTGTCGGGCACTGTGCTAAGTGCTTTGCAATTATTATCTTATTTGATCTTCGTAACAACTCTGGGAGGTAGGTACTATTGTTGTCTCCATTTTACAGGTGAAGAAACTGAGACAGGCAGAGGTTAAGTGACTTGCTCAGTGTCACATAGCTAGTAGGTATCTGGGGGTGGATTTGAACTCAGGTCTTCCTGACTCCAGGCCCACTATTCTATCCAATATGCCACCTAGCTGCCCAAATGAAAATAACAATGACAACAATGGCTAATGTTTACAAAGAACTTAGTATATATATGTGTGTGTGTGTGTCTGTGTGTGTGTGTGTGTCTGTGTGTATACATACTAATTTGATCCTCACAATACCCATTTTACACATGATGAAACTGAAGCTGAAAGAGTTTAAGTGACCCGCCACTCAACCATGAACTAGTAAATGTCTGAGGCAGGATTTGAACTGTTTTTTTTTAAGTCCAAGTCTGGCATTCTATAGATTATGCTATCTAGCTGCCTCCCAATACCTAATAACCCTTGTTCTTTGACCCCTCTATTTCTCATTGATGGTGGTAGAATTGTAGAAATGGGGAAGTTGGTGCTTAGGGTCTTTAGATGGTCTATAAAAATAAATTTAACTATTGGTTTTCTAAAGCTGAGATCTTTGGCCAGTGATGTTACTTGCACTGCTGCAAATGATACACTGATAAAGTGATGAATACTACAGATACTATTGAAGAGCAAATCCAAGTGAACAGAGGAACAGATTGGAAGCAGAGAATCAGAGACATAACCCAGCAGATCAGCCAGTGTGACCGAAATGTTATCCTGAGATGTTAATCAAGCATGGCATGGATCAATTCAGCTCAGCTGTGGAAGTCTTTGTTCAACATAGATGCTACATTCATCAAGGAACATTTATGGAGAGCTCATGAGACAGAAAGGACATGAAGAGTATAGTTCCAGAGTTGTGAGTTACTCCAAATACATGGGTTTTCCTCATTCATGTTCTCCTTGGTATATTTCTATAAGCTTGTCCCTATTATCTCTAACAGATACTGAGAACATTGGTTGGAAAGTGGAATGTACATTTGTGTGTGGATTATGATGTTCACTTGCTTTAATATATAAATACCTGTGGTATTATTACTTCTTTTGCCTTATTGTTAAGTAAATTTTTATATTTAAGATCTAAATGTAACATTATTGTGAGTGTTGAGTTTTATATAAATGGAATTACACTGGTAAAGTCCCAAGAACTAGAATGGTGAGTAAGGGAGTGTAAGTCCCCTCAACAGCATTACTCTAGTGCACTGAGAGAATTCAAGTGTAGCCATATGGTGGTGGTTGCTCTCTGGAACCTAGACCTGCCAATGTGAAAGTAAATAAGAATAAGTGAGTTGGCCATAGAGTAATATGCTCTCTGTGAGAAATGTGGAGTACTATGGTGTATATAGGTGGTCAGCCATCATTCCCCTTATTCTAGGAAGGAGGGGAGTTAATAGCTTAGGACAGAAAGTGGTAAAACTTATCCAAAGTAACAGACTCCCTTAACATTAAAATAGACCAAACAGAAATCAATGACTCCATGAGGTAAGAAATAGTAGAGTAATATCAAAAGAAAAAACAGAAAAAAAATATAAGATACTTGCTGTCAAAAAGAAACCGACCTTGAAAACAGATCAAGGAGATACAATCTTTGAGTTATTAGATTATCTGAAAATGAAGATAAAAGAAAACATACAAGGAAGTAGTCTAGATCTCATGGAGCCAAAAGACAAAGTAAAAATATAAAGAATCCACCAGTCATCTTGAAAGAAACCCTAAAAGGAAATTCCGAGAAATGTAAAAATAGTATTAGCAGCAACAAAGAATTCAAATACTAAGGAATCAGAGAAAGGTTCACAAAAAGACTTGGCAGCTATAAAGAGGGAGAGATCTTGGGAGGAAATATTTTGAAAGGCAAAAGATAAAGGCTTGCTATGGAAAATAGCTTACCCTGCAAAACTGATAAACTCTGTGTGTGTGTGTGTGTGTGTGTGTGTGTAAGTGGTGGGGAACACAGGAGTGGGTGGGGAATAAACCTTTAATGGAATAGAGAACTTTTAAAGCATTCTTGATGAAAAGATCAGAGTTGAGTAGAAGCTTAAGTTCATGGAAATGACTATAGAATGTTTATATTCTACCAGATAGAGAAGAAGCAAGTATTAAGTGTCCCTTCAGAACCTAATGTCTTCAAGAGTCAAAGAGAGAGATGAGTAAGACAAATGTGTGGTCTGGAGGTAATTGTGAATCCTTTCTGATGGTCTTCAGAGAAGAAAGAAAAGATAGGGGGAAAAGGAATATACTAGGGAAGAAAGAAAAAGGAAGGGGAATGAAATGAAGAGTATATAAATATAGAGGAAGTGGTGAGAATGAGCACCATATGAACCTCATGTACATTTGAATCACATGAAAGAGGGTTTAATGTTCTCTCTCTCTCTAACACACCTATGGTAAAGGGCTGGGTGGTGAAAATGGATCATTTTAATTATATATCAGGAGTGTTAACCACAAATTTTCTTTCACCACCTTCTTTTTTTTGTAAAAAGAACATGGGGAAGGGAAGAGGGAAAAACATAAGAGGACAGGATAGAAAGAAACATAAAATTAACAATCATACTCTTGAACATGAATAGGATGAACTCAATAATAAAACAGAAGAGGATAATAGAATAAATTTAGAAAGGGAAATCCAACAATATATTGTTTAAAAGAAATATACTTGAAATATTAAGGCTGACACATCTAAAACAAGGGACTACAACAAAATCTATTATGAATCATATGAATTCAAAAAAGCTGAATTTACAATCATATCAGACAAGGTAACAGTAAAAACATTTTCAATTAAAATAGGGAAACTATATTTTGTTTAGTGGCATCTTGGATAATGTCAACATTTAATATATATGTGCATAATGACATAGAATTTAAATACTTAAAGGACAAGTTAATCAAATTACAGGAATAAATAGTACAATTCTAATAATGGGATGGGGGTGGGGTGGGGGAAACCTCAGTGTGCCCTTTTCAGACCTAGGCAAATCTAGCAAAAAAAGAAAAAGAAAAAAAGAAAGATAAATAAAAAAGAAGTTAAGAGCCTAAATAGATTTTTCAGAAAAGTTAGATATGATAGATTTGGTGATTATTTGAATAGGAATAGAAAGGAGTATGCATTTTTCTCAGCTGTTCATGGCACATGTAAAAAAAAAAAACCTGACCAAGTATAAGGTCATTAAAAAACCTCACAAACAAATATAGAAAAATATAAATATTAAAAACACCTTTTACTGATTACATTACAATAAAATCATATTCAATCAAGGGCCTTTAAAGAAAGGATTGAAAATTAATTGGAGCCTAAATAATTTAATCTTAAGGAATTAATGGATCAAAAAACAAGTAATAAAAACAATAGATCATTTCATCAAAGAAATTGAGAGACAACTTACCAAAACTTTTGAGATGAAGCTAAGCAGTTCAGAAGGAGAAACTGATCTCTAAACTCTTTAATCAGCAGAAGAGAGAAAGAACTGATCAATAAATTAGATATGCAACTAAAAAAATTAAAAAGCAACAAATCAAAAAGCCCCAATTAAATAAATAAGAAATTCTGAAAATCAAAGAAGAAATTAGTGAAACTGAAAACAAAAAAAAAAAACCAAAACAAAACTGGATGAAACTAGGAGTCAGTGTTTGAGAAAAACAATAAAATAGTATGTCTGACTTTAGAAAAACAAATTATCAATTTCAAAAAATGAAAGGGGAGACTACACAAAAAATGAAAAAAATGAAGCCATCAGAAACCATTTTGGTAAATAATATGCCAACAAAAGTGATAGCTTAGAAAAAAATCAGTTATTTACATAATTATAAAATACTCAAGTGAACGGAACAAGAAATAAAAAAAACCCAATTGCAGAAAAATAAATTAAACAACCCAAGACCAGATGGATTTAAAAACGAATTCCCTTTTTTTTGGTGAGGCAATCAAGGTTAAGTGACTTGCCCAAGGTCACACAGCTAGTGTCAAATGTCTGAGGCCAGATTTGAGCTCAGGTCCTCCTGACTCTAAGGCCGGAGCTTTATTCGCTGCACTACCCACCTACCCCTTACAAGTGAATTCTATAAGACATTCAAAGAACTTAATTCAAATATTACCCAAACTGTTTACAAAAATAGG